CTGATTAATGTCCCCCCCCCCCCAAAATCTCCTCCTCCTCCTCCTCCTCCGAGAGAACTGATGGAGTGCTCAATTACTCGCTAAAAAAAGTAGATTCTTGAGCACTCTACCTTCAAAGCCAGATTTTGAAATTTTGGCGGAGGCTGTTTATCCCCCAAGTCTAACACCCTCGTCCTTCGAGACCAAAATTAGTGGAATGCTGGGTTATTCGCTCCTTCGAAAACAAAATTGGTGCAATGCTGATTCATCTTATATATAAAAGCTTAATTATAAGCTGAATGTCTGTTTGTCTGTCTGTCTGTCTGTCTGTCTGTCTGTATGTCTGCCTGTATGTCTGTACGCATGTTCCGAATAGAAAATTCCATTTCTGAACCGATCCGGACCAAACTTGGAACACATTCACTTCGGGCCCCGGCGGGTGTTATAGGCTACTTTTCGTCATCGATCGATATCGATTTTATCGATTTTTTGCAAAATTTGAGCTACGGAGCTGGGAGTCGGCACAGGGGGTTAATCGAGCATGCTGATTACGAATATAATAATGACAGGGCCAGGCGGTATCGGGTAAGTCAACTAGTTCGCTATAAAATTAGATTTTTGAGCACTTTACCTTCAAAGCCAGATTTTGAAATTTTGATGCAGGCTGTTTGATCCCCCGAATTCTATCCCCCTCGTCCTTCGAGACCAAAATTTAGAATGCTGGGTTGTTCGCTCCTTCAAGACCAAAATTGGTGCAATGCTGATTCATTCGCTAAAAAAGCAGATTTTTGAGCACACTACCTTCAAAGCCAGATTTTCGAATTTTGGCGCAGGCCGTTTGATCTCCCGAAATCTATCCCCCTCGTCCTTGGAGACCAAAATTGGTGGAATGCTGGGTTATTCGCTCCTTGGAGACCAAAATTGGTGCAATGCTGATTCATCTTATATATAAAGCTGAATGTCTTGTATGTCTGTCTATCTGTCTGTCTGTCTGTATGTCTGTGTGTACGTATGTTCCGAATAGAAAATTCCATTTCTGAACCGATCCGGACCAAACTTGGAACACATACACTTCGGGCCCCGGCGGGTGTCATAGGCTACTTTTTGTCATCGATCGATATCGATTTTATCGTTTTTTTGCAAAATTTGAGCTACGGGGCTGGGAGTCGGCACAGGGGGGTAATCGAGTATGCTGATTACGAATATAATAATGACAGGGCCGGGCGGTACCGGGTAAGTCAACTAGTTCGCTATAAAATCAGATTTTTGAGTACTCTACCTTCAAAGCCAGATTTTTTTTGATGCAGGCTGTTTGATTCTCCGAATTCTATCCCTCTCGTCCTTGGAGACCAAAATTAGTGGAATGCTGGGTTGTGCGCTCTTTCAAGAAATTTACTCGCTAAAAAAAGTAGATTTTTGAGCACTCTACCTTCAATGCCAGCTTTTGGAATTTTGGCGCAGGCTGTTTATCCCCGAAGTCTAACCCCCTCGTCCTTCGAGACCACAATTAGTGGAATGCTAGCTTATTCGCTAAAAAATCAGATTTTTGAGCACTCTATATTGAAGCCAAATTTTGGAATTTTGGCGCAGGCTGTTTGATTCCCCCAAATCTACCCAATCCTCCAAAATTGTGGAATGCTCAGTCTTCACTAAAACAAATTGTACAGCAAAGATTTATGAGAAAATAACTTTTGATGATTTTATTGAATTTTGTGCAGAAAAGGATGGTAATTCTCGATAAGGCTTTACTTTGCGAAGTTCAAATTTTACCCCCCCCCCCCTTTGAGGCCAGAATTGACGGATTGCTATGTTCTTCGCTGAAAACAATGCGATTTTTGAGCACTTCACCATCTGATTTCTGATTTGTTGAGATGCGTGCACAAAGTTTGTCTTCCCAAATTTATTTCCTCCCTGTTTGAGGCCGTAATTCATGGAATGCTTAGTTTTTTCGATAAACAATGAAAATAGCCGCAAACTTCCCCGAAAATTGTGTTTTCTATAGTTCTGCTAGAAGTTGTGCGTAAATGGAATATGAATTTTTTAGAGGCTAATTAGGCTATTTGTGTAGGAGGATAACAGACAGTGTTAGCAGAATTGTAAGCTCGTCTTGCAAGTGGAACTCAAGCAAAAAGGAGATCGATAGCTGGAATGACTCCGTACACAACCATTGCCACTACCATGGCATTTGTAATTTCAACACATAGCAAGTGCAGCAACAAAATCCATAAAGGTAGCCGATAGGTAATAGATAATTCTGAAATTTATAATTATAGTAATGTATATTATGTAAGGATTAGCAGAAGCGGGAGATTGTGAAGATCTTTATAATGTGTGGTAACATATAGTTAGATCACGCTGATAGAATTGCAAACACCAGCAGTAGCACTGTACAAGGTTGATGGTAAACTTTTTTAAACGGATGTTTGCAGGGTGGAGCAAAAGTCTGGGAGCCTAGTTTGCAGTGCGATGATTTTGATTCTAAATTTGTGGTGCATAATGCTGCGATCATCCTTCACAAATCACAATTTAGCTAGCTAAAAATGCTTGCCATATTTTTGTAAGAATTGGATTTATCAAATAAATGCTCTTGGAAAGCGAAAAATCGAAAATCTTGGTCTTCACAAATTATTTCGTAGCTAAAGATACAGTACTTTTCCGTTATCCGGGCCCATTTTTTGAAGAAGGATGTTGCTTTTTTTCTTGTACCATATTTGGTCCCAAATTTACAGCAAGGAGTGTCAACTTTCTGCCACTTATCAAAAAAAATTTGACATGTCATCTACATGTTTAACAAGTTTTGTCAAGGTTTTGTTTTCCACTGCCTAGCGACGTAAATTCAATCTGTGTTCAAGTCAGTAATGACCTCATTTTCAAGCAGAGGATTGCAGAAATGAACACCATCATAATAATAACGTCATCCTGCTATCATTGAACAGATTAGATTTGCCCAGAATGGAGAAGTGTGCTAGGATTCTATTTTCCAAGCGGCGAAACAAGCAACAGCAAAATACCGCAAGCCATCATTTATAGTCTCTCCTGACTAAATTCGCATGGCGGACAGTTTGAAGAAGAAGCCAAGTTTGAATTATTGCTGAAAGCAACTAAGATGTTCTGCTATAAATCCTAGACAGTGTTGCTCTCATAGAATAGTTGAAAGGCTTTGAACGTGAAAACTAGAAGAAAAACCGTTAGTACAGCGTAACTTATCACCTGTACTTCAGTTCTAAGTATTAGTTACAGCAACATTTTGAGAGGGAGCACGCCTTCAAATTTTATATAAGAGCACCACAAATCCGGAGGCAGCTTCAAATTTCAGGTGTTTCCGAAATACATCGAACACCACAGTCATCAAGCATCTTCTCCTTGTTAGAATATGATTGAACATCAACTGAGAAATTCAAAAAAGTGCAACACCATGATTGATTCGCTGCTAAATAGAGTGTCAAAAGGAAAGCCACAGCAAGTTATGCATTGCTTCAAACCAAGCAATGCATTTATGATATCGAAAAAAAATTCAGAAAAAACTTCGGATTGAAAAGACCTTATTAAAAACCTCATTTTTTGAGAGATTTTCAGAATTTGGTGATGTTGACATACTGGAGGGAATAGTACCGTTTTTTTTGGAATTATTTCATTGCAGGCAGAGGCCTTCAACCATTTTACTTGGGACAACTTCGCCAGGTTTACGCTTGTTCAATCGGACGGTAGGTTCTACTTGTGCAACTGTGTTACTTCAGAGCAGATCCAAACGAGGACTGAAGACAAGTTTATTCACAGCGCTATCGCTCATGAGATCTCAAAATATATTCTGCATATGCCCTGCCGAATATCCGGTAGATGTAAGGATCTATTGGTTATTTGGCGGGGCACACAACCACTTTGAAGCTCTAAAATACTTCTATCAAGCATTCACATTGTTGTAAACGTTTTATTGGCACCTATTGCAGTTGCAAGAGCAGATATATGCTGTGCATTCTTAGCATTCAGCATTGTCACAATGCTGAGCACACTGCTTTTTATGCTAAGACCAGTGCTTCACCTCTGCTTCGCAGTCGTGAACCGTGGTAAACTCACTTTCTGAGAGCTTGTCTCTCAAATCATTGTTAGGTTTATTGCAAAGTGAGCCGTAGTTAAAAATGAACCATACTCGCTATCTTAACCTCACACGATATTTAGTATCGTAAATCATTCCTCACTGTAATTTCGTAACGGACAAACTCCACACAACTTCAGATTAAGCCGCTTATTATAAGTCATGATCAGTAAAAGTGAAGGTTCTTGCAAAGCTACCGGATATGATCAAGAGACACGTCGGCAGTCGGCAAAAGTTAGTGAAAAAACTTCGTGCAAACAGCTGTGCAAAGAAGGATTTTTGGAGCAATTGTCCGTATAAAAGGAAGACCAGTTTAAAAGATCTGGAGAATGAGTCATCATCAAAGCTTTTCCCTCTTTTGCTTCTTACAGTTCATTAATACGAACTGCTTCAGAACTGAAACAAGTGTTGGCTTCCTTGCGGATTTTTGAGGAAGATGCTGCAAATACTTGTTCTTGCTGCTTTGTGCTTCCAAGCTCACGCTGCTATTGCGCTGCCGGAGTGCCTAGACGCTAATTCAGCTGAATATACAATACTTCGAACAGTTCAAAGTTACCCTCATTTTTATTGTCTTGTTACCATAAGTTGCAATGGTACGAATAATGAGGAAAAATCTCAAATTTGCAAAGATACTCAGGAGAAATACATTTCGAAGAAATGCTCAGTCAAAAGCTTTCTATCAGTGTGTAGACTCTATGTACTACGAATCTAAATGCAGATAACTAGTTCGAAGCGTATCGGTATCTGATGTGCTTCGACGTTTGCTGGAAAACTCCGATTATTCAGTGCGCGCATTGCATTCGATGAAGAACTTACTGCTCCCACTAGCTTGAAAAGTTTTCAAAACAAAGAATTGAAGAAATATGAATATCAATATCCAGGCGTCGTGAGAAGTTTTGCGAGATACGACTGTATGCCTTTGTATGACATGTTTGTAAAGCATATTTTTTATTGCGACGACCAGCTTCCAAAAGCAGTTTGCGCAAAACTTTTCGCTCCTGGAACTGATGAGGCCAAGCCTGCAGTGAGTGTAAGTGATAAGGACAGGCCCAAATGTTGCTATTCGGTGAGTCAAGAGTTTTAAGGCAACCTGAATTTACCAAGTGATTTTACGTGCAAAATCTGAAAAAACTGAATTCTTTTCTCATAACCAGTGAAAGATTCAATCGAAAAGCTTTCAATCAAATAAGAAACTCAGAAACATTTTAAGAAAATGAAAAGAGCTACTTTGACCTAGTTCTAGTCTATTGAATAAGCAGCGCAAAATAGAAACTTTTACTGAATGGGTTTCGCTGATGTTGGTAATGGCATTGAGGTTTTTCTGGCGGTTCTAAGCCAAAAACTCAAATGTCAATAGCGAACCCTATTATGAGTGCTCAATTTCGCTGCAATCTTGATCGAGAAAATTACGATGATTCACAAAGCTGATATAGATTTAGTAGTTTATGAACTTTACAGGGCCGAGTTCCTGCATAATACAGCATTCATTCTTAAGAATTTATAATTCAACAACAAGCACATGTTTCAGGACGGCACAAATCAGAGTAATGGTTTCATCAAGGCCGCCTTGAAGACATGCCCAAAACATTGTGGTCTGTGCTGCGAAGCAGCCAAGTTCGACTGTAAGGATAATGAAAGTAAGCTGACAATACGGTCACAATTTAAGACAACGCTACTCATCAAAGAATATTTAACTTTTTGATGGACTTGCACAATGCAAAATTTGGTGCTCAGCCTTATATAAATCCATCTTTTTCTATAAGAGCTGAACTAATCATCAAAGAAACAGGCTACTCGTAGTCTGCTTTATCTTTGAAAGATTGTAGCTTTGTCGTCACACAAACCGAACGTTTCAACGATGTTCCCAAACGTCCCTAACAGAATTTCCGATGTGTAAATAGAAGATCTGCAAGTGTTCTATATCAGTTGCTTAATAGAATTCCGCTTGTAGTAAACAATGCGTCATATTATAATCTTCTTCAAAGAACGAGTACAGGTCTTGCCTTAACAACGAAACTCGGAATTTAGAAATATGTGCCAATCAGCTTTAGTTTCTAAACAAAGAGTCCAAGACGATTAGTGAGCCTGTTACACAGCATTCTACATGTATTAGATTGTCCCGAAAGTTTTGTCGGTTTTTTTCATCGCTCACCAAACCTCACAGAACACCAATCCATGAACAGCCTAGGTGTCATTCTATTCATTTTTTTGTCCCCTTTCTTATATCTATATTTGTTCCCTGATCTATCCGTCTTTGCGATGTTATCGCAATGGTTTGAGCACCTCAGCAGTAGCGCCAGAACTTTCCTGATTTTTCAAATTTTTCATCTTGATATTTTCAACGAGCGCTGGTGACTGTTATATAGGGCAAACCTTTGGCTACATTGTACCCATTTTAGATTATGTGGGCCACGTTTAGTCCGTGATAGTAAAATTACCGAAAATTTTAAAAACCTGATTTTTGAAGCAAATCAAACTTGATTATGTTGCATAAATGATGTTTAATAACAAAAAAGTTCGAATTCGCAAAAACTTCAAAAGCCTCCATGCTTTTGCTGCAATTGCGCGTTTCATGACTTTGCTAAAGACCAAGGCCTCCGGAGAAATAATTTTTTGAAGTTAAAATCAGCATATTAGGAGTATCTAAAAATACTACCTTGTAGCCCGAGAGTTGCTCTATTTGACCCATATTTACAAGGGAATGGTCAGAAGTCGAAGTGGCCAATCCGTACAAGCTGCATACCTTTAGATGCGCCATAAAACGCTGACTCTAAATCTTTCTTCCTTATCTGCAGAACGCTTTTGTGGACGAAATTATAAGACGTTGAATTCCATTATTTTGCTAAGAAATTGTGCGGGTGAAGTGCAAACTTGGCCGTACAAAGCCATTCTCGGCTCAGTGTTGGACTAAAACATGCATCTAGTTCACTTCATATGACCCGTACCTAGAGGTGAGTTGAAAGAGCAATAATCTACCTAATTTTGCAATTTTTGTATACGATTTTTTCGCAGTAAAGCTGCTCATAGCTTTGCCTACAAAAGCGCTCTGCATATATGGAAGACAGATTTGAAATCAGCATTTTATGCTGCATCGAATGGTATGCAGTTTGTGTGGATTGACCACTTCGACTTCTGACCAATCTCTTGTTAGTCTTTTTTGAAACTTTGTAGTGAAGTTTTCAAAAATCAGCTCAACTTTGAGCAGGTAAAATTGACAGGTGGAGAATTTTGGCAATTATCAAACAAAGCATACAAGATTATGTAGATTATGTGTATCCATAAGAAAGAGAAGGAAAAGTTGCATCGAATGCATCTTGAAACTCACTCAGGTCTTTATTGTGCGTGGTTTTACAGTGGTTTAAAAAAACCGACAAAACTTTCGGAACAATAATATATTGAAATTTATAGATTTGAATGCAACAAGGTGCAGAAATCGCAGTGCAAGGACCCGTGGAAAACGCAGCTTAACTGCCAGACAGTTGTCCGAAAACGTGTGGTCTGTGCAAAGAGAACAGGTGATCTTTGATGGCTTTCTTGATGGAAAGCTGAGGTTACAAGATACTCCACACTTTTCACTTTCTGTGCTCTTGTCGAAGTTTCTAATGTGAATTGTGAGTAAGGTTAGCCTGTAGAAAACTTAAAGAATGAGAACGGAAGCACCGCACCACCTAGCTGCCCAAAGAAAAAGACTTCGTCGTCATTTGAGTGTTCAAATTTTAAAGCGGCGTTTAATACATGTTACTCTCGGAGGCCAGATACTAAAAGCCTCAAAATTGGTTTGACCAAAGCCAAAGGCGACCTCGCTACCTTTTGTTAGAAAAAAAGAAAATTTTTTTAATAGTGAGGTAGGAAATTTCTCGCTGAGCAAGGTGGGCATATCAAAAGTGGGCATACTAGGCTGTTGCATAAGTTCTGTCCGATTTGAATTTTTGAGTTTAAAATGTCATAACTTCTTTCAGAGTCAACTTTTTTCCAAGGTCTTAGTTTCTATGTGTTGAGCAGTCCCTTGGCTAAAAAATGCATATTGAGATCTGCGCAAATCTTTGTTAAGGAAGAACCAAGAATGCAAAAACTTCGCAGCGTTTTTCTTCGAATCTGTCTTTTTTGACATGGTAACGCTCCCTTATGAAAATTGATAGGCATCTTTTCTATTAATGGATGGATAGAGAAATTTTCGTAGATTATTATGCAACATAAAAGAGCCCATAGAGTTTGCGCTGCCGAGAGATTTTTTTGACCGAACAAAAAATTAGCCACTTTTTGACCTCGCTTCAGCACATGTGTGCATACCTATTTATGAATCATGAAAATTTTACAATTGACGCGAGCGCCGAAAAGGAATTGGTGGATGGGCCTTGTTAGCTCTTGCTTTGCCCTAGCACCTCCAACTTTGAGCTTGTCGATTACTTCTATTCGCAGAAAGTTATTGCTTGTAAAACATCTATACCAAAGATTTATGTTCGAGGATAAATTTCACTAGCAAGACGTATTCTTCATGGGACCGAACTTCTGCATATACTAGCATTCCATACCCTTATTCCAAAGCCAATGAAAGAACCTGACTTGAAGGGCGCATTGTGGAGATATCCTCGCAAGGACATATTTCTAGGGATAGAACGTACCTCGGCCACTTAGAGATTTTAGGCCTGTGATCTCCGTACACTAAGAATTTTATTGAATTCTGGTATGCTTTAGAAAGCGCAAGGAAAGCACTTTTCAATGATACCAACCGTATCGAATTAGAGATGAAATTCTCTTAGAACAGCTGCTTCAAACATGAGGCAAAAAAATCGGACAGAACTTATGCAACAGCCTAGATAAACGTGCAATCAGTTGATTGGTTTCAATCGATCTGATTTTTGTAACTGACTAAATTTCCGGCAAATTTTTGGAGCTCACTCCTAACTCATCCTGTTTATAACGCCACCCATCTGACTATTCGTGTTATGGCTCAGTGAAAGACCTATCAGGCCACATACTGAACAGACACGTACACAAACAGCAGCAAAATAGCGATAATCTAACTGTTCCCGTATTCCTTGGTAGTGGCACAGAAAGAAGTGTTTGATTTCCCTCTTCTTATCACTTTCAATTTCATCCACTTGTTTCTAAACTGTCAAGATAAAGAGCCAAATTGCGACGAGACTCAATGTGAAAACACAGATTTCCAGCCAGCAATGAAGGTAGACGAACTCCAATGTTCACAGCAACAACGTATGATAATCATTCGAGCCATGACAAAAGGGATATTTTAGAAACTAACAAACTTGGTGTGAAAGCATCATCAAGCTGGTGTACCCACATTCCATGTTCCTTGTCAATATACTAGGCTCATCCACAAGTTCTGTCTATTTTGAATTAAACCTCAGTAAGTCAATTTCTTGCTTTTCAAATGAGCCATGGGATGCCTTTTGATTGGAGAAAGAAAACTAAGGGCGTTCTAAGAGCATCTTAAAAAGCAGCAATCAAACATGGTAGATCATATGACTCATACTACTCATACTTTTGATGGAATATGCACTTCTTGTTTTAAACCATGAAATTAGAGAAAAGCCGTAGTGTTCTTGATTAACTCTGGAGAGCTGTTTACTCGACAGAAATAAATAGCTATTATATTTATTTGAAGTGTCCTGAAGATGGTACAGTCGAGTAGATTTCCCGCTCAATATAGTGTGTGCACGAAGGTGAAATGCGGTAAAATTTGCGGGTGAACAGATAGTTTCGACTGTGACGCCGGCCAATTGCGGGCGCAAAGTGCCGGCTGTACTGGCGTGGCCACTTCTTTACACGCAAATTTTACCGCATTTCACCTTTGTGCAAGCACACTATATTAAGCGGAAAATCTACTCAACTGTAGCTTTTCAAGTGCATAATTCTGCTTCATTTTTCCACCCTACAGCTTGCTCGACTGTGGTAGAGACTGAATGCGAGCGGCGTTTGCTATGCGATACGCTTTCTAGCCCTTTGTATTGTGTACATCTCGCATTCACAAATTTCAAAATAGCGCCTAGAATCGATTTGATAAGCCTACCTTTTTTGCTTCGAAGTAATACGCTGGTTTTTTTTTATATTCCAAGGTTACGTCAGCGAGTTGCACGTTGTTTTCATAATCATGGGAAGCTCATTAGACGATTTTCGTAAGCCCTCAATTTTTGCCTGCTGGAAAATAAAAATGCTTTAACTCGTATTTAAAATATTTGGCTTAAGCAAATAAACCACTTGCGAAATTATTAGAGGTAAGTCGAGGAAGTTTCGTGAGCTTACTTTTTTGACTATGTTGAGTATATGCACTTCTAGGTAAACTGCAAAAAGACCTGCGGTTTTGCGACGAAGAAACAACCGTACCTGCTCAAACTACTGTCGGTGCAGTAGTTTGAGCAGGTATGGTTGTTTTTTCGACAAAACCGGCACAACAGACTACAATGGCTGAGAAGACGATAGCAACAGCGAAAACAGGTGGTTTTATTTTCAGTTCATTTTAAAGATATCCGTCCAAAGTAAGTGGAGCTGAAGAGAATCATCTGGCTTATGACTCTGATATTGAGCGATTGCATGACGTAGCAATGAAGCAGTGGCGTACCGAGGAGGGGGGGGCGGGGGGGGGGGGTGGGGCGCGCCCCCCCCCCCCGAGAATGGGTCTTGAAATTTTTGAAAGTTACTTATATGGGTCATAAAAATGTGTAAGTGATTTGTTTATTTTTGTAAATAATTAAAATAATTTTTAAAAATTTTTAAAAATTTTTAAAAAAAATTCAAATTAGCCTTGCAAAAAAAATTTTTTCCGGGGGCGTGGCTGACGCCACGCCCCCTCCAGATTTTAGGGTCAGGAACACGAAAAAATTTTGGGAAGCACCCCCAAAACTTTTTCGGAGTGCGTGGCTAACGCCACGCACCTTCTTTAGAGAAAAAATTTTGTCGCGCTCCCCCCCACCTCGAGCCGAAATCCTGGGTACGCCACTGTAATGAAGGTGACTGTCTCATGACGTAGTAATGAAGGTGACTGTCTATCTTGAGTTTAAAGGTTATGAGACTGAGGTCACAACATTCAAGTATTTGATAGCTATCTCTAAACAAGCACTTTTCAGAAATTACTGCATAACTCCTTAAAAATGTTCTTTGTGGTTTTGCAAAAAAGAAAAACACTTTTAAGAAACATTAATTCTTAACACCTATTCAGCTACTGTACCAAGAACTTCTGCAATCTTTATTTCTAACTATGATTTTCAGAAAGGCACATAGATTTGCAGAGTCTCAACAAAAACACATACAGTCGACTTTTAATTTCAATACAAGTGACTTGTCACTAAGAGCAACGATAACACCGCTAGGCTATCACCCCACCGTCACCAAGTACAGAGTGCGCACAAAAACTGTGTCCACTGTTTGATCGTTGATAGCTTTTTACTCCAAGGTCTCTCAACTCAATCTCCCTTGTTATTGTGGCGGCAAGCCAACTTGCATTAGTCTGATCATGTTGCATACTTAGAATATAAAGTATGCACTGTACGTAATTCGTTACGTAAAGTGCACTATTCATAGACATGCCATGCCTATACCTAACATGTTTTTTTCAAGTTCTTCAAATATGATTACACCATTTAAAAAGCCCAAAAGACTTGTGAAAAGGTAGTGAAATTGCCTAGAGCCTTGCTACACCTTTTCAAAACGGCCTGATTAACAATAGAGAAACTTTCCACCATAATTAAATAGTGAAGGGGACAAGTAATTTGCTCTAAATTATAAATTGAATCCATTTTCACCCAGAATTAGCTAAGGCGGAAAATTACGAATAAGAGGGATATTAACGATCAAACAGTCTGTACAGTTTTTGATATACTCTGTATATCATACTTGGGTCCGAATCGAATAGAAATTTTATCATTCGAATAAAACATTTTGATATACTTGCATTCGAAATTCGATATTCGGAGTTTTTCCACTTTCGAATAATATTCGAAACTCGAGTAATTGAGAAAACGAGTATTCGAATAAAATTCGAAAACTCAAATAATCAAAAATAGGGTTTCGAATACATTTTATTCAAATGTTTTATTTAATTGTTTATTCGAATTTGCATTCGAATAAATTCCGTGCTCAGATCATTCGATCATTACTTGCAGAGCCAACTGTTGAGTATCAGATTCGCTTCGTCTGCATTTTTTCTCTCAAAACTTGGTAATGCATCTTTTGCAATTGTGATGACCCTTCAGCTGTATGCAAAGTCGCATTCCTCCGACTGCTTGCGACAGTAAAAAAATAGGTGTGGATTTTAATTGATCTTTTTCGATCAATGAGTTCGCATTGCTGTTGGCACCAAAACAGCAGAAAACATCTATCAAATTTAAGCTCAAGTTCCGAGTTCATATACTAGGAGGAAACGTGTTGCATGCCTGTTTCTCTTTCTTTGCATTGCTCAGGCTTTTGGTACACAAAGGTACACAGTAGTGGGCACTCTTGCTTGCTTGTAAATCTCGTGCTACACAACCGCCTCTGCTCTTTACCTTAGAGATTATTAGTATTTTGGGTAAAGAACATTGCAGCTGTATTGGAGGATTAGACGATTGCTGAATTCTGCATTTATATCACCTTGCAACAAAGTTCTTCTCAGTAGATAGCACATGACAGTTCTGTTATCACAGTGCATCCAAAATTTTCACAGAGGCTTGTAGGCACTTTAACACCGGGAGCTATCAGCCTATCACTAAAGGTGAAGGTTAGAGCCAAACGAAGAAGTCCCCATCGAAAAATGCGAGCTTTCATTATGACAGGCCCCACACATACTTCACGCGACAGCCGTACGCGATTTGCCACTTACAAGATGCTAGCTGGGGTGAGAGTTGGTACAGGGGGTAAGGGAGGGTGCTATGTGAATAAATTTCATTTTGTCAATTTTTATCGATTTTTTGGAAAATTTTGAGCCGAGGCTGGAGTTCGGTATGGGGGGGGATTGAGGATGCTGATTATAATTGAACATTTACTTTGAGCTTTTATCGACTGAAAATCTTGAGCTACGAAGCTAGGGGTTGGTAGGGGGTAAATGAGGGTGTTGATTAAAATAAAATCCTTTTTTATCGATTCCACGATTTTTGAAATCTTAAGCTAGGAGTTGATATAGGGGATATGAGATATGAGGTTGCTGATTATGACTGAATCAGCTTTCGCCGAATGTGTCAACAAGTTTTAGATCTGGCTCTAATTATAAATCATTCGAATATTTATTCGAAGTTCAACTCCCGTGTTCGAATATAATCGACCAGCCGTTCTCTGCCGCTACGCGGCAGGTTCGTCTGGTACTCTATAGTGCGGAACTGTGAAATTTTGCAGAAAATTTGCTGCTTTGCACGAATTTCTATTTGGTGAAAAAACTTGATAACACTCCGCCTAGAAGTTATGTGCAAAGTTTAGTTTGAACTCAATGAAGTTTTCAAACATCGGCCGGTCATAGAAATTGCTAAGCGAAAAACCAAATCGAAATTAATAGCTTCACTCGATGATTCTCGGTGGAAAAGCTTAGTGACACCCGCCTTACGTGCATTTGGGTAAGTTCTTCTTGGACCTTTGGTGCTTCCTGGCTATGGTGAAGACGGTTATGTGCATCTGCGGAGCTCCGCCTTGCGCCACGTGCTCGAGTTCCCTGCGCAATGTGCATCTGCGAACTGGGACTGGAGGTAGGTGCCGGTTCAAACATTGCTTGTTGCCGCGAGTCAAGCGTGGAGATCGTTTGTGCTGTGTTCTCGTCGATTGGCTCGTATCCTCGTTGGCCAACTCGTTCTGGGCTCGCACCATGCCTGGATTGATCCAGTGTCTCCTGAAGGTGTCCGTTGAGCTGTGGTTCCTGTTGCCGTCGACGAAGATGACGTTCACGCAATGAGGCAAGACGCCGTTCTCGTGCCTCTGGTGTTTCTCGGCTACGACGAAGACGGCTACGCATTGCTTCAAAAGTGCGCCTTGCAGCGGTACGGGCTTAGGTTCTAGCGACATGCATCTGCGACTGAGGTGTGGAGGTAGACGGTCCACTGCTGTAGAGGGTCAATGTCGGCACCATGGTGGAAGTAATCGAAGACGAAGGAAGTACGAACGATGAAGACATTTTATGAATGAACCGTAAGGCCGGGATAGGATATTTTGATTTGGTGGTCATATGTGATCTCGTGGATGAACCATTTTGATTTTGTTAATGAGCTAAGCAGTTGACAAACTCGTTGCGAAAGGTCAATGCATAGTTTAATATCCGCTAGCTTCAGAAGCTCCATGCGCCACCGAGTGGTTTTTGGTGAAAAAGCTTAGTGACACCTGCCCCACCCCGAAGTTCATGCATGTAAAGTTTCGTTTGAATTCATTGAAGTTTTCCAACATTTTAGGCCGGTCATAACGAAATTGCTGAGCGAAAAACGCAAAAAATCGATAAATCGATAGCGCCGCTGGGTGGTTTTTGGTGAAAAAGCTTAGGGACACGCTCCCCACCCCGAAGTTCATGTGTGCAAAATTTCATCCAAATTCCTTGATTCTTTGTACCATTTCAGGCCGGTCAAAAAAAAATGCTTATCCAAATATTATATAGGTATTGACATTCATTCATTCGATATTTTTGATTTTCCGACATAATTCGGGATTCATCCATTCGAGAATTTTTAAATCTCAAATTTATTGAATATTTGAAATTTATTCGATTTTGCTGTTTTATCCGATACTCGTTTATTCGAATTTTTTCATTTTCGGATTTATTTGATATTCATTCATTCGTTGAAAAATTTCGAATTTACCCAAGTATGCTGCATATATCAATAATTTATCTTTAATAATTTTAGAACCTTCCACTACTCCCGTTTGCAAAACAGACTCGAGGCAAGCACTCAAACATCACCTATAAACATAAAATAGAAATTTCAGACGTACTAAATGGGTACAGAATGGGTTCTGTATGGATACTCTTTATTCCGACAATTACAAAACGAAATACTGCGGTAAAGTATGCGGAAAGTGCTAAACGCAAAGTTTTTCAACTCAACAACTCATCCATTGGTTGGTGTTGCTTGTAATGCGCAAATAGACACTACAGTCTGCCCCAATCGGGATCAGGCCGAACCGTCGGCTGAATTTGCGCGCTCGCAGCACTAGGGGTTTGCGCTGCATACGTGCGCTGTCGCAGAGAGCGAAGAGATTGAGGAGAGAGCAGACTAGCCGAACGCAGAAGTGGCGCGAAACCCCCGCGACGCGCACTCCCGTCAAGCCAATTTTGGCCTGGTTAGGATTTGGGCAGACTGTACATACTCTTAGACTTTGAGGTACAAGACAAACTTTTGACTTGAACCGAAGTAAAGTCTGAGTATGGATTGCGAGGTCGTGACCATAAAAGTAGCATATCCTGTTGTAAAAA